GCGCTTGCCCGACTGTTTTGGCGGCATGGCAAGTCAAGTGGTGAACTTCTTGCCAGGGATCATGGCTCTTCAGCCACAACTTTCACCAAGCCAGCAAGCCATCAACACCAGGTGTAGTGGATGCGCTGATTCACCCTTGCCATTTTCCCTGAGAGGTGTTTCAGCACTTCCCCACCATCATACAAGTATCGCTGCGCAGCGGAACTGCTCCATCGTCCCACTCTCTTGACCAAAGCGCTGGCGCCTCCAATGCGGAGGCTGTGGGACATGAACCTGTCGGCTGGCAATCCCTCAGCCTTTGCAGCCTTTTGGAGAACCACTTGCGCTTCTGTCCTCCTCAAGGCCGTGCCATTTCCTCACCGAAACAGGGGGAGGTGAGCTTCCGGGCCTGGTGCAAAACGACGGGCTGCTGCGCGCCGAAGTTCTTCCAAAGCACGCGCTGGGCATAGGAAAGGTTCCCCCGTGGCCCATAGTCTTGCAAGATCCGAATGCCTCTTGGTCTGACTTGGTCTTGCGAAACTGCGCAGTGACCTCATCCGCATCCTGAGCAACATGTTGTCCTCCACGGGTCAGGCGGACGTCCAGCCCCCACAACACCATCTGGTGGTCAAATCCCCAATCACAGAACTCCTTGAGCATGAAGAACCATGCCGCCAGCAATGCCGCCTGCACCATGGCCTTGTCCACCTTGTCCTCCCCCATTAGGTCACTGCTGCAAAGATGCTTGCCAATCCACACCAGCATGCCTGGTGTGACCCCTAACCTGCGAGGCTTTCGGTCTGCATGTCGATCCAGCGAGTCCACCAGCATCCAGACTCGGAACATTCCCCCCGTTGGGTCACCAGCACCACCTCTCTTGTGGCCATCCTTCACAGCAAAGAGGGCTTGTTTTATCGTGGCCGCTGTTGAGCCCAGCCACCCAAGATAGCCCAAGAAGGTCAAGAGCTTGTTCTCATTGTCCAGCTTGTCGGCGCGGATGTCGCGGAAGCGCGTAGTCCACCCCTGTCTGACTGCCCAATCTTCCCACTTGGCCCATGCAGACTGGTACATCGGTACATCTTCAATGATCTTCAATGTGCTCGAAGCCTTGCTGTTGGCGACGTTCTCATCAAGCCATTCCTCGACTTGTTGCGCTACTTCTCCATCAAACAGTGGACACCTGGGCTCCAAGCGAACGTACCCCTCTGCGGCCAATTTTGATGGGTCCTGAATCACACCCACCATCTTCTTGCGTCCTCCAGCACGCGTGGGTCACGAGGTGGCTCAAATCGCGTCCTGTGAGGATAGCTCTGTGTCCTGTGAGGATCGCTTCGTGGCAATGGACGACAGGTCGGAAGCCTCCACTCGTTTGGACTATGCGATTGGAGAATTTTAGAAGCCCAGCACTCCAGTGCCTTCAGAGGCCGAGGCGGCTGTCGAGACGGCCACGATCGTGCAGGCCAATGTGCCTACTGATGGTCCAGAGAAGCCACCTACGCCACCAGGTGAAGCTGAGGGCAGTGTGCCTGCAGCTGGAGCTGAGGGTAGCAGCTGGAACAGAGGGCGGTGGGCCCGGGGCTGAGACATGCTGGATCGCCACGTCCTTTGCCGGCAGCCAACCTTCGAGCCGCCAACAGCCCAATTCAGCAGGCGGGTGCCCCACGAGCAAGCCTCCTAATTGGCCTTGTGCAGGTCAAAGTCCTCGAAGTCCACCTTCTTGGTCATAGGTTTTGAAAGGTGTCCTGGCTCGCTGCACTCATCATTGCGACAGAGGTGGACTTTGTCTGTCCCCAGTAGTTCCTGGAGCAAGGACGGTGAACCCCGCAGCGTGTCGACCTCGATCCCCACATAGACACCGCTGGACCTGATGGGCGCGACCTCCGAGGAGACCTTGAAGACGGCCATCTGGTTGCTCCTTTTGATGATCACCCATTTCTCCTGAGAATTGTGGTATTTGAACTTTCTCAACTCAGAGGTCTCTGGGACCTGACCGGTACCCGGGCCGTAGTAGTCAGCCATGGTCTCTTCTGGAGTGCCACCAAGCCACTTCTGCGTAGTGCACGCAAACTCCCAGCAGACGAAGCGAGCGAGCCACACAATGGTCATCACCACTGCGCAAAGCAGAGAAGCCACTGGCCAACAAACGACCCATATGTAATGGGCAACGATGCAACAGCTCAGGATCACGCACCCTTGGAAGAGCCGCTTGCACCCATTGCGAACTCCTGCCCAGGCGCTGCCAAAGAAGGTCCGCCCAAGGAAGCTCACCAGCGTGTCCGCGAGGGTCCAAAGCCCCCAGTTTAGTCCCTGGGACTGGGCCTCAGCTGCCCACCATGAAGCCTTCTCGGTGCCCTGGACCGCGTAGTCGACCCACGGAAGAATCCGTGGAAAGCGGTCGTCCAACAACTCTCGCCACCAAGCTTTCGGCGGGTCTGGTGGTGAAGGGGTCGAGGCATTCCACCAACCCTGTCCGCCGGCTGCGAACAGGACCACCCCCACCAGCAGCCTAGCCGCCGCCATGGCCCGTGGCCCAACACTCCCAACAAGCCAGCTAGCTGGCTCTTGAACACCGAAGAACACATTTGTTTCTATTCTTTATTGAACGCCTCAGAAAACTGTAGTCCAGCATGTGGACGCATCCAGCAATGATCAGGAAACGATCGAACTTGTATGTTTCTCTATTGAGTTTACATGAGCTTACCATGGGACCCCGCATGAGAGCTACAACAAAAGATTATCGCCAAGCAGGGACTTGCAATTTATCAACACGCATCGACTTCCACACCTAGGAGTACGAATTAAGACGCGTGCCTCTTTCGCGAACCTTGTGGCATGTATTTGCTCTGCCTGCGAAACGGAGTTGACATCCTTTTTTGTGGGCCTTCTGACTTCAAGTAAATCTCTATTTGGATGCAACTTTGCCCAAGGCCTCAAAGTATTCATAAGTCACGAACTGCTGTGACACATTTGTCAACTGCTGTGATTTGCCAGTCCAAGCCTTCTGCAGAATCAAGGCCATTGTATTGCAGCAACCCTGCAAAGAGCGAACATCTTGGAGATGCACATTGCTATGCAATGCTATGCACCTCTTCTTACACGACATTCTATCAGATTCTAGCTTCCAGTATCTTCCACTCACCCAAGTATCCTCGGACGTCACTGCCCAGGCGTCATCAATGCGATACCTGGGATCTGGCATTCCGAGTGCGGCCCAGTGCGAAGCCGCGAAGCCAAATGCGAAACATGTTTTTCATTACAAAAGCGAACTTAAACTCTCAACGTTTGCATCTGATTCCTCTGCCAGATAGCTCGGCTTCTAAAGGATCCGAATCCTGCAAAAAAACATGAAAGAGTCACAATGCTGGACATATGTTGAGTTTGATTTGAGATGTTTGAGAAAGTTTCTGTGGCGCCTGAGGGCTGGGTTTGGTTTGTTTTGGATATGTCTAGGTTCAGGAGCAAATGTCTACACTGCAGGTCTTCTCTGTGTCGCTTAAAATTCGCTGTTTGCAGAAGATGAGTTCAGGGTATCGGGTGAATCGTTCAAGTGCAAAAAAGGCCCCAACCAAATAGAATAGAACAGAAATAGAACCCATACAGCCACCACACATCGTCACCACAATAGCGCCAACGCACCAATTAGTCGCATTGTGCACCACTTGCCCGGCTGTCCTACATCAAAATCATTCAACATCTGCTAAGCATTGGTCTTCTTGACCCTCTAGGTGATGAGGTCACAGGCTAGACTTAAGAGCAGGTTCATCGTGCTTGAATCTCCTCAAGTGTCCTGGTGTCACGCCAATTCTTTACTCCTAAATCTTCTTCATTCATCGATCCAAACTGAGGCCGGTTCTAAAGCATTCAAAACCACTCTGAACCCTCTGTTTTTGAACCACTCCAAAAACTACAAAACCCCTCTGCATAACTCCAAACCGCTCTAGACTCTAGATTGATAAACCATAAAAGTGTCACACTACGTGGCTTTCAATTGGAAGGAAATAGGGTGACTCACTTACATAGGCTGATGTGGGATGAGCACTTCGAAACTCTGTGGCAGCCACCCTTCGGAATCAGCATCCTGCCCTAAAACTTGACAGTGCTAACCGAAGTCCCTGTGTAAAGTGAATTGTTTCCCTGCCGTTGCCCCCAAAGGAACATATCCTTTGAGGGTCGTGTAAGCATACTAGTGGGACCAAGCAGCCAAGGTCTACTACAGCACTACTGCATGTACAGGGCCTGAGTATCCGTGGCACTTTGCTTGGGCACGAAAATGAATGCTCTCAGTGCATTGAACTCTTTACACTTGATGATTATCACCAAGCAATACCTTCCCACACCACCCACATCACACGATGAGTAGCGCTGGGACTGCAAGCACTGAACCTTCTTACTTGGGAAACCAGGCCTCTTTGTGGCACTCCCAAGTCGAACCTTTATGACGTGACACTTGTGCCTCTGACGTTCCTGAGCGTTGGTTGCTCCTGAAAGCGGCCTGATTATTAGAGGCTCCAAAGTGTCGTGCCGGCCACAATGCATGAAGCTGAGATTTTCCCACTTTACTTTGCAGCATTGTAAATTCTGATGTCGACTCGACTGAATGAGTCCTTCCGGCAAGGTCCAGATTCTAGATCACCATGTCTACCATTAGATCGCCTCCCATATAGAGCATGTCACAACTCCACCACCAGGTAGAATCACCTGTTCGTAGATCATGTCAACATTTGAAAATGTGCATGGGAGGATGTGATGCCATTTTATGCTCCTGGATCAAGGCTCTCTAAACAGTTACGAGAGCCAATGTTCAGAATTTTGACTGCCTTCGCTAGTGCCCACATCCTTGACCCGTAAGGTTCGCAGACATTTGCTGTAGTACAAGCTTCTGTGGGCACAACACCGCAAATAATATGTAACAATTCAAAGCAAGGAACTATGATGGGGAAAAGACATAACTTGACTTTCCGCACCTCTGCCCCTCCAGTTTCCTCTGAAATCTAAACACCCTGGCTTAGATGCAAAATGATGCACAAAACAATAGAAATCAATACAATTCAAGAGCATTCAAAAGATCTCAAGAGCAAATGTGAACCATCTTAACAATGTGAACACCCAAACCACACATCGAGCGGGTTCCTCTCTGTGCTCCGACAGGACTCCACAAACCTGCAAGCTTGATCGAGCTGCCCAAATCAATCCAATCATGAACCATTGGATATTCCGACATTCCCACCCTGGCTTTGGGCAGCAAACATCCTTCGCTCTTTAGTCATGCTGTTGACTGCTGAGGCAAATCTGGGGGTCATTAACCATTGCTCATCTTGAGCAAATCGAGCATGATCAGACTCCAAACAAGGTTCAAAAGATTCAAAAGCTGTTCCTTCCAGGATCACGGCATGATATCATACGAGTGGTTTGCCTGGGCAATCAACTTTTCTCTCGTACCAGCACCAGTATGCTGACTCTCTGAGAGGTTCATGTTGGAGTCTCAGTTGGGAGTGGCTCAGGCTCTTCGACCCCTTTGCTCCCATCTTGCTCGGGGTATTGGCCAAAGGCATCCGCTGCAGAATCGACATGCTCCTCAAAGCACTCCGTCCCTGACGGAACTTATTATGTGAACTACAGATACATTGAGACAAATAGTTCTATATAGTGACTCTAGTGTTTAGCTTACTGAGCTGCAAAGAAGCCTTGAGGGTATGTTGCCCCGCCAGTCCTCATCATCCTCACGCAGAGCTTCACCCAACAGAGCTGCAAGTTCATTGTCTTCCATTTCGGGAGCATCTCCTTCAATGTGTTGGCCCACTCTGGTGTCTCAAAAACGCTTGAAGTTGTGCTGGTGAACGTCCGCACTTCTATTCTATACTTCAGCTTGGTATTAGATAAAATCTATTCTATCTGATAGATTCCACTGCTGTGTGCAAATTCATGAGGCGGGTTAGATAAAGCCAAGATATTGTCTCCGCCTGTAAGTCGAAAAACACAGAAACATGCAGCGGCTCTGCGGGTCATACATGTGTATACAAATCATGTACATTCCCAAGTTGCCTCAAACATGTTCCCACACCCAAACAATTGATGTCCTTCTTCGATGGCTTCCTTGGTGCTGTCTCCCTCGACTCCGTCCATACCTTCATCAGCCTGTCTGGAATGAACAGCTTCTCTCAGTTTTGTCGGAGTGACGAGTCAATATTCCTGTGGACAAGTCTTTGTTGCGAGAAGTTTCGGTCAGGCGTGATTTCACACTGCTTTTCCAAACAAACAATGCTTCGAGTCATTTGCTTGAGTACAGGAAGTAGGTCAGGCAAAATCCATCATCCATCCTCCCATAAACACAAAATGCTTTGTGAGCTTCAATAGTCTTGAAGCAAAGTGGACCAAGTAGGCTCTGGCATTTCATGTAAACAAGCTCTCTGCCAAGTCTACAACAAAGGCTCCATCGAATGATTACAACGCAAGCTTGAATCTCTTCCGATACCAATGACAGCTTCACTGCCAATGACAGCTTCACTGTGTTTACAAATCGCGGTATCTCCCAAATGGATAAGGACTAACTTAACTTCAAACAAAAACAACCTTAAAACAAAGAACATTTTCAAAACACGTATTCCATTTTACATGCTTGGAATCATCAACTCAAACCATGAGCGAATATACAGGTTGTTTTTGCAGAATACATTGAATGTCCGACCCTTCCCAAACATGCAAAGCAACTTATTATCTGCAATAGTGTGGTATATGCCCTTTGATGCTGTGATACAAATCATATGAAACAAGCAGGCCTTGGAGATGTTTACAATTTGATGCTCTAAAACTTGTGAACCTCTTCAACATCTTCAAAAGCGTCATAAATTCACACAGCAAAAGGCTTTGCTGTACTCGCCATGTCAGGAATCCAAAAGGACTGCCTCTGCTCGAAGTGTTCCAGCTTGCCTGTCGCAACTATGCAAGAATCGACAGGCCAAGCTGCTCGGATTTTGCAGCATCCTGCTAGCTGCATGAAAGCCCTTAGTCTTTCCTGTTTTCTCCAGGGATCACTTCCGAGAGGGCAACAGTGTTGTGTATCTACCTGCCTATCCGGAACTCCGAAGATTCTTTTGCAATATGGTATAGCTTCTGTGTATATGGATATCTAATATAGTTCTCATTCGGATGAAATACGCTGGTGTTTCGTGGTGTATCCACTCTTCCTCTCTGCTTTTATAAGCTTGCGGCCACCCGAAGGCAAACCTAAATAAGGTATGATGTTCAACTTGCATTGAGGCAAGAACCTTGCAAGGTCAGTGGCTCCGCCTCTTACCATTGTTTCTTGAAACGCAAAAGTACCCTTCGAATCCTAACCCCTCCAGCTCAAGAGCCCCATTGCATCACCAAACATGTGTCGTGCACAAATGCAGGTATTTGTCAAGCTATCCAACCCGAAGGATACACAGAAGTGTGTTCGTCAGTGAGGCTTATCAAGTTGCCACTTCACTACATCAAAAAACTGCAAAGGATGCTGGGTCTTGTAGGTTTGATAACGACCGGGTGAGAGGTGAGAGGACCGGTGCCAAAACTATGATGAGCAGGGCGCAAAGGGCGCGCTTAAGTGCGGCGCGGATTGCGGTGCAAATGTGGCACTGTTGCCCACGTGGGCTGCGTGCAGGGAGTTTCGTGGCAGCGCAGTGGCAGTGCAGTTACAATGGGGACTGCGACTCAGGGTGGCAAAACACGTTGAAACAGCTGCTTTGGCATTGGTTTCTTTGGAGTGGAGATTAAAGACTGCAACTCGAGGTTGCTAACTGGTAGGGCTGCATGGGGAACATTTCTACAGATTTCTACGACAATTACTTCTGGAGTGAAAATATACTGTAAACGAGCAGAAACACATACTGTGCATAAGCTGCATAAGTATAGTTGTCTAGAGAAGAATGAGCAAGTACAAATTTCATCATATGTCCAGAGAATAACTCTGTTTGGAGAAAAGTGCAGGCCTCAAAAGCGGGTTTTCTCTCATATGCAAAGTCTGCGCCAAATCGAGGGTACTCAAAGGAAACTTGGAAATACAATGAACATGTGGGCAACAGCAAGGTGAAATGAGCAAGTTGAAAGGTGAAATGCCTCCGGGAGCGCCTTCCTAATACACGTGAAATGTCACCGGCAAGCCGGGACATAACGCGTTAAAGGATATAGAGAGCTTCAGAGGAGCAAGCAGAGTGACCGTCAGCATACAACACAACAGTTAAACAATTGTTTTATGGTGTTGGAAACTATGCAACAAAGGAAGTTTAGTTTCAGCGTTCCTGAATCTAACACGCTGCAGGACAGTGTCATCCATTCAAACGATAGGAGGCACACTCGGTCATGTCCCGCGATGAAGACGCCTTTGATGATGAGCAATGTTACGAGTATGTTCTGAAGATACCTTGTCTAGCATGTGCATTTTGGAGTACAACCCTATGATGTCCTGGATTGTCAGGATCATACTGCTCCATGCGACCCAGCAGGTGTATAGAGAAAAAGTGAAAGAAGTACAGTAGAATTTTGAAAGAACTCACCGTGCACAGAATCACCAAACTACACGCTTGATGACATGACAAATCGCCACACACACCATCAAATCATATCACGCATCGCCATGGTTGGACAAATCCCTCAACGCTGTGTCCAGGACGCTACTAGGGGCTCCTGGCCTACTACTAGGAGCAAGGACGCTACTAGGAGCAAAGGGCATCACTACTAGGAGCAAGGACGCTACTACACTGCACTCTTCTTGCCCTCGTTTTCCCTCAACTTGGGACCACCTCAGGTATCCTCAGGCCCGAAATCCTGCACCACCTCCTCCTCAAAGCCGTAGCGATTTGAATGAGGCATGGCACTGTTGAGGTGGTGGATTTTGTCCAGCGTCACATCACACATCTCAGATTGCAACATTATACTTCGCCATCTTCACCCTAGCATTGTCCTCTTGGTGATTCCTCTCGAAACTTCCGCCCCCGCCACGTGTGGGATTGTGGGCATCTTATGCCCCCTCCCTCCCTCCCTCCCTTCCTCCCTACAAGCTGAGCTACAGCAGTTGCTCCGCATCCCCATCAGCGGTTAGGTCAATGGATCCACTGCCTGATGTTGAAATGTCATTTGAGCGTATGTGTCGTTGATCCTCATGGGCCAAGTGTGACACATTTTTGGCCATTGTCCAGGCACTCATCATAGGTGAAACATGGTGAAACCAGGTTTGGCCACAGCTGGGGGTTGAGACTCGAAACATCTCGAAAACGCAAACAAACTCATGCGCCTCCATATGGATCCAGGCATGCAGACATGCGAGAAGGCACTGATATCGATCCACCCTTTCGGCAAGAGAAGGAAAGGTGTAGGCAAGAAGGGTAAGGACGGACAAAAAAGGCGTTGAAGGTGCCCAAACAAGCATGGCATCATTAGACTTTGACTTTCTGGCCACCAACATCTTTGTTGTTCTCTTGCTTGACTTCTCTCTCGACACGTTCTGCTTGGAATGGTGCAAAGTAGGGGAGGAGGCGGAGGAGGATTGGTATCGATCTGGAATGCGAGTCAAGTGTCGCCGTTCACTCTTCGGCGCTTGGCACGGGATGACTCTGCCGCCGCAGCTGCTTTCCTAGCAGCTCTTGCTGCTCCTCGCGCACCTCATTCAACGCTGGTCTGAGAGTCTGCACTGCAACGAATGAGTTGTTCTATTCGTTGCAATGTCAAATTTGTTGCTCGACAGAACCCTCTACACAAACAACAAACGGCATGTTGCGATACGATATTCTGATTGATATCATATATGTTCCACAAAAAAGTGCTTTTTCCCGAACAACAGACTATATTGTATTTCAGTCGAGAGGCCAACTGCCTGCAACAGCTCCTTGGCAACACAAGGTACTATCAGTATCAAGCATGAGCTGACCAAATGGACGCAGTTCCCAATTCTCAACTATGTTTCCATGCCGCGGGTCCGAGGGGTAAATCACGGCACCCTATCCCACACACCCGTCTGACAATCTGTGAAGACATGCGTAGAAATCATTTGAAATCAAACGGGATTCATCCTTGTTCCTCTGTTATATATATATATATGTTATATATTAGTTATATGGGGTTCAATGGTTCAACCCCAACTGGCTTTGCTGAGATGTTTTGGGACCATGACCAAGAAGTTTGCTTTCAAAAAGGTTGTACTCTTCGCATGTTGGCCGAGCTGGTTCCACATGCTTAGCCACTAGTTACTAGCTTACTAGCATCACAGCCACGCTGGACAAGTGGTTCGTGGTCTTGATATGGTGCCCATGGTGCCCTCTTGCTTGACTGGTTCTGCATAACTGCATAACCGTGTTGCGCCACCTCTCAAAGACATATGCTAGGACTGCTCAAACTGCCCTTTCCAAAGCACATGATCTTCGTAACATTTCTTAACATCTACAACGAACGCCTTGACCTTCACCCCACCCTTGCACCAATGCAACCCCCTTGCATGTGCTAAAATCTGATGATGTTACATGCAGCCAAACAAAAACCGTCCTCTTCTTTGGACAAACAGTCGCATTGTTTTGTGCTTACGGCTTGTTGGTAAGCAAACTTGTCTTCTGCAGCATGGCAGGACTTACTTGTGCGCTGTGTAACCTTGGCCCATCCCTTGACAAACAGAATGCGATTGGCTTTGACCGCCAAGAATCCAGTCGTGAAGGCGACGCAAAGTACGCCGCCCCAAAGCGCTTCAGTTGAGCTGCCTGCTTCACTTTCCTTTCCGCATAGTCCTGCAGCGGGCAGGAGGCCTTGACAAGGCGGTGGTAATTGCATGGCCTGTGGCATGTACGATTTACTCTATAAACATGATGCTCTGCACAACGATGACACACTTGCTGTTGTGATCCCATACCATCACCCATACTGTGGTGATTGGTGTGATCAGCAGCTGGCTGCGGTGATGTTAGTTGGGTGATGTGTTTATTCTTTCAGGTCTCTGGCATGGGCGCTCGGTTTTGCACTTGATGATTGCGAGCAGTGAAGCTTTCTCTTGATTTATAGTGTTGTCTATGTTCTGGGGTAGCTTCTTGGGGTTGGCTTGATTCATGGACCATTCAAGCCTGATTTGAGGAGGGCAGAACAGGATGCAGTGGCAGCCCAAGCCCTGTGACTAATGGTGTTTGCATGCCAATCAGACTCGGAAACTCACCCTGCATTCATGAAGGGAAACGCAAATTAAGGGATACTGGATACTTGACTTATGGCACACACATTTCATAACACATTCAATAGATCCGCAAAAGGTGACAAATATGCAACCAACACGCACCATTAGAGACCACCACAACAAAAGGAACGACGAACTCAAAAACTACGGCAGGTTCCTAACCTTATACTTTGAAATAATTTGTCCAAAATTTGCTCCACAAACTCACTGCAAGCTTGCGGAGCATGGTTGGGTCCATTGCTCCAGCCTTCAGGGACTCCTTCTTCTCGCTCCTGCCGCAGTGCTTTTCTCTGTGCTGGTTTAGCGTAGTTGCCGGGGTTACGGGGTTAATCCGAGGCATCTGCGCGGTAAACACGGTAAAAGTCGAACATTTTATTTGTTTACCGTTTTCCCCAGGGGGGGCACCCCTTTTTCGTCTACCATATCCGCGGTAAAAACGGTAAACATCGATTCTGTTTTTTAACCGTTTTTACCGGGGGGGCGCCCCTGTTTTCTAGCATATCCGCGGCAAAGACGGAAAAAATCAATCATGTTATGTTTTTATCGTTTTTACCGGGGGGTCGCTCCTTTTTCTTCTACCATATCCGCGGTAAAAACGGTAAACATCAAAAACAATCCTTTTTGTTTAACGTTTTTACCGGGGGGGCGCTCCTTTTTATGTTACCATATCCGCAGTAAAAAACAGCAAAAATCAATTCTTTTTTACCGTTTTTATTGGGCGCTTCCTTTTGTACCGTTTTGATCGAGGGGGGCAAACGGGTCTATGTTTTTTTTTCAGTTTTTAACGGAGGGTCACCGCTGTTTCTTCTGCCATATCTGCGGTAGGTAAAAATCTAAAGTTTTCGATCCAAGTGATGTAGGCGTTCATTGCCCTGCAAAAGTTAAAAGTCATGAAATTTCTGATCAATCACCAAACTCCTCTTGTCGAAAAGGGCACACGCTCCTATATGATAGGAGGAGTGAACCCCACCTGGTTATAGGAAGATACCCGGGCTGTAACATTAAACCTTTTTGTTGACAGAGGTCTTCTAACTTGCGACCTGGTCCGGAGGCATTCTCGCGGTAAAAAACGGTCCAAAGTGAAAATTACTACTTTTGTTGTTTACCCTTTTTAATGAAGAGTCGCTTGCTCTTTTTGCTTCTACCATATCGTTAAAAATCAAAGTTGTGTTATTCTCCGTTTTTGTAGGTGGACTTGTCCTTTTCTTTTCTACCATCTCCGTGGCAAAAACGGTAAACATCTTTGTGTTTATTTTTTTTTACTGGGGGGCGCTCCACGTTTAAATTTCATATCCGCGGTAAACATGGTAAAGATCGTTTTTTTTAACCGTTTTTACCGGGGGGGCGCCCCTTTTTCTCTATGATATCCGCGGTAAAAACGGTAAAAATCGACAATTCTATGTGTTTTCCCGTTTTTACTGGGGGGGGGGGGGGCCCTTTTTTTTTTACCATATCCGCGGTAAAAACGGTAAACATCGATTTCTTTTTTACCGTTTTTACCGGGGGGGCGCTCCTTTTTTGTCTACCATATCCGCGGTAAAAAACGGTAAAAATCGTTTTTTTAAACCTCTTTTCCTGCGGGGTCGCGAAAGGATACCCCTTAGCAAAGCAACGCTCGCGAACCAGCTTAGGCTTTTCTTCAGTGGCATGCGTGTTCCAAAGATCGATCTAGGGGGAGACCGGTCTAGTCCGAAGGCAAGTGCAATCCCCCCCTCTCCATAGTCCATAGCCCAGCCATATTGATTTGGAATTCTGGCTGGGAGGGATGTGAATACAGGTCGTGGTAACACTGTCGACTCAAGTCCAGTAGTTCACTCACCATGTGTGGACCGAAGAGTAGTAGTCTATTGAGTGAGGAGGAACCGGGGGCAAAGTAGCGTGTGAACATGTTTCCTGTCACTGCCAGTTCAAAGGATGAGTTCACTCATCAAGTTTAACCCTCCACACCCCTTGCGCCCTTTTTCTTGCAATGGATGACACACAGGGCCAAACCAGCCTTGCAGGTAGGACCCTGCAAGGCAGGGTGGGTGGGTGCCTGCAAACGAGGCAGCTTTCACCTGCCTGTAAGCTGCCCATCCAGCACCAAGTCAAGGCTTCCTCAAAGCTGCCAGAACAAGGTCTGACTAGATAACAAAACAAGGGGGCAAGGTGGGAGGAGGGTTCGCGCGGTGCTGCACTTGGGCAGCAGACTGGCCAACACACCCCGAGCGTCCTTTGTCTGCCACCAAACCCCGAAAGCCAAGTGGCACCATTGCGAGCTGCAGAGGACAATTCCCCTCTACCCCGGCTGCAAACTGCGCTGGTTTTGCGGCAGAAAACCGGGCGGCGCTGCATTGTGGCTGAGCGCATCCGCCCACACATTTCTCACATCAGCCACATGACTGCAAGTGAGCGATACCCCCAGCTGACACGAATAGAGCCCGAGAGCTTGCAGCGCATACGATAAGGGCTGCTTCATGCTGAGCATCCCAAATGCGGCGTGGGAAACACTCCGGTTGTCCGTCAGCTGGGCGAACCGAAGCACAAAAGACTCGTGTTGCGGTAGCTCGTCACAACGAAGCAGCAACAACACTAATTGAGCCAATGAAAACGCTGCAATGCAGGATTGCAGCGAAGAGCTCCCTGGAGAGCTGAACCAGCGCGGCAGCTGAGCTGTCGTAAACTGAAAGCAAAACCGCCGCGCGTTAGCTGGGATCGATTCCAAGCCGTCTGGAATCCACCACCCACCAATTCCAGCCTCATGCTCTGTGGCAAAAGCATCTGCAGCACAACTGGTCCATTCATGCTCACGAATGCGCAACTGACAGCCAAAGTGACAACGAAGGGCATTGTAGAACAACTGTGGTGCCCACGCTGATTCTTTGCAGGCGTTTGTCTTCCAGTTGGCGCAGCAGTGATCGAGCCACTCAAATTGTTGAAGGTCTTGGCTTGTCCTCCTCATGACGAACCTTAGAACACCACATTTCTTTAGGCCCAACAAGCTACTCACTTTTGAGCGCGTGCTTGGAGCAAAGTGGGGGGACGCAGCAGCTGCAGAGTGACCGTCCACAAGCCAGCTCTGCGAAGGCATCTGCTGCTGCCACCATCCTGAGCCGTGCAGTCCCCACCAGCGGGATGGTTTCGCCGAAGGGCCGCAAGACCTCCTCCTCCGAGCTCGATAAGAAACGGCCCCGCTTCCCCAAACTTAATCCAGGCCTTGCCCAACACTTGTGGTGGGGATGTCACCAGCGCCCCACCCTTTGGACTCTTCCAGCCTGCTTGGGTGCCGCAAAACAAACAAGCCTCTTGCATGACCCCGGTGGCGGAAGTATGCCGGACTAGTTCACCGAGCTGCGCCGAATCCAATGCAGCGCTGGTTTGTTGCGCCCATAGAAAAAGATTTGTAGCCACGCACGCAATGACATTTGCTGAACACTAGCCCTCAATCTCAACTCGGCTTGATTAGCTTTCCTGAAATTTAAGAGCCGCGTACCTGAAAGCTTGCTCAAAATCATGCAAGACAAGTGGGTTCAAAGGTTTGTTTCACGCCAAGGATGGCAGGGAGGCCGAGCCAGCGTCTACCTACAGATTTTGACCCACAGTGATGGCACTAATGGTTGGCCCCAAAGGTTGTAATTCAACGCTGTTTATCCAGCTCAAGAGGCTCCAGGTGAACATCAAGTGTGCTCTCCTCGCCCTGCCGATGTCTGCTCCATGTTTCACCAAAAGGCGAAACATCCGGATTCTCCAGTGGCAAAGTGCATAGAACAAAGGATGCGCACCTTGGTTTAAGACCAAGCAAGCGAGGCAAAGGTGCCCTCTGCCTTGGACCCCAGTAGCATTCTAGCTCGAAGCAAGAGCTTTTGAAACACAAGAAACATATATGCCAAGACTTATATAAGGCCTATTGAACTCCGAAAAGACACATAAGCAAAGGAACCAAGGTTTTTTTCTTACAAAGTACATGTTGGTCTCTTGCAAGGGTTCACATGAGACGAATCAACATCGCAAGCTCGGGGAATCTCTGCTACTGCATCATGCCATTTTCGACACATTATCACATAGAAAACCTGCACGAGCCACCCAAGCAATTTGGAATATTTGGATCTGCACCGATTGGTTTCGCTTCCAGAAGCTGTCGCACAGATTCCATGTTGCCCTGCTGGGCTGCTGTGCAAAGGACGGGCCAGCCGGCCTCAGTTATATAGGCACTCTTTTACTTAGAGACCTTAGAGGTTTCTTAGAAGCTTGTGTTTAAGAGGGATTCTAAGAGAACCCCTAAGCACTTTGCCTCTTGTCATTTTCCCACTGCTTGGGGATATTTTGAGGTTTGTTTAACATATTGTGCATTGGTCTGCTGCTAGGAGCCCTTGCGATCGCCGCCGCGCTGGCTTGCACTGCTTTTTTTCTAATTTGCAACATTATTATAAGTATATACATAGTAGCAGCAGCAGTAGTAGTAGTCACCTGAGTGACTTAAGTGGGCTAGGCGGTCAAGAGTAGTAGTCAGTAGTTGTCAAAGTAGTAGTCGTATACCAAGTAGTAGTCGTCGTCGTCGTCGCTGTGGCGGCGGGGGTGGTGGGGGTGGGGGTGGGGGTGGGGGTGGGGGTGGTGGTCGTCGTAGTAGTAGTTGTAGTAGTCGTCGTAGTAGTCGTAGTGGTAGTGGTAGTGGTAGTGGTAGTCGTAGTAGTAGTAGTAGCAGCAGGAGCAGGAGCAGGAGCAGGAGTAGTAGTAGCAGTAGCAGAAGTCGTAGAAAGAAAGGATGAACAACGCATGCTTTTGAGGCTTAGGGCATATTGGGATATATTGGGGCGGGGCATGGTTCATCTGATAGGATTTTGCTGCATAACGTTAACATACGTTAACTGTGTTTATCTTCGTGTTGTTATCGTGCTGATACCCTCAAACTACACCCGAATCTTGGGCCTCCCAAACGTGACATGCTTGACTCAAAGATCGCGACGGCACTTCTAGGCAATGCTGCAAGCTCGCAAGCATCTTACCCGCCCAAAGAAGCTGCGTCCCTGTTGGTGCTTCATCAACAGAATGCTAGACATGAAATGCTTTTAGCCTATAGTATACCTGTATGTGATGTCCATCGTTACTGGCTTGCTTCCTCTTGTCGGTGTCTGGTGCTTTTGCTCAACCCGGCTACTTTGGGAACTGCTCTTACTATATAGCACCGACAAGAGGAAGCAAGCCCGGAACGATGGACATCACATACAGGTATACTAGGGGGAGTGGAAACCAGGAGAAGCAACCTCTTCGGAGTCACTTTCTTCAGCTTCGTCTTCATCCGACTAGCGACTTCGAGCTGCATTAATTAAAGACTCCGATGAAGAAACATGTGCCTGTATCTGTGATGGAATTTTCTGGACTGGATCATTGCATGAATTTAGTGTTCAGGCGATCAAGAATTGGCCTGGACGAAAGAATTTAAGAATCACGATATTGAGTACAAAATGTTGAGTGACCACATGCGCAAACCTAGTGCGTGAGTTGCTCAATGTCTTGTTTGAACACCATCAGGATACAAAAAGCACAATGTGAACATATCGCAAAGGTATATGCCTGAAGATTTGCCAAGCTGTTCTCTCCACTTTTGTTGCTTCCTCGGCACAAAACTGGCAAGCTACATGCTCTTGTGTTGTGTCTTTCTAGATCGGTTTTATGGCCTAAAGATAATCCAAGCTTTTGCCGATCAGGCCTCTTGCCTTTTGGCCTTCGCATACCTTGTCTGGGGTGAGGGCATTGTGAGCGAAGGATCACCTTGTGCAGAATGTATGTGCAAGGATGGATGAGGACACAACATCTCAGGGCTCTTCAATTTTGGAACAGCATCCAATTAAAGTAAATTTCTGACCTGGATCTTGAGAGGCTTGACAACCTGTCTTTGACTTCCAAAATATATAGGCTTCTAGTTCATATGTGAAACCTCGAATTCGCACACAGAGTGCTAAACTATGTCTCAGCCACTGAAGATTTCACAGCGATGTGTAGCAAGTACAACACCTTCCGCTATCAAAAGATTTGCTAAATGTTGTTTGAATATATAGGGCTTTGTTTGGGAACAAAATCTGATGTGACATCGTGCGTCTCTCATGTAAACCTTTGCCTTTAATATTCAGCCATTGACACCGTGCTATGAAATCTATGTGGGAGTTGACCAGTCCCGCCCCACTCTGATGAACACCACTTGCACCACAAATGCAAGGCTTGGATACCAAAGCTAATCGCTGCCGTCCTGTTCATGAAATAAATCAGTATAGAGTTCCAGTTCAACTCCGAGTCAATGGTGGCTAGCTAAGCATGGTAGTGGTAGAGTTCACTCCTGACCTGAAAGAAAGATACATGTGCAATTAAATTAAGATTGACTAAGGGTGTGTTGAAGCACATATCCTTGGCAATGCCATGGCTGCCATGACTTGGACACAAGTCTCGATTCCAACTTTGCAACCCCTCATTTTGGGCCAAGCTGCTGTGACGGTGTTCACACCCTTTGCGTCTGATGATGGATCTTCTGCCTTGAGCGACGAGAATCCCCCCTGCTTCGTACTTGACATAGTATGACATAGTCTGTAGAACCTACCATGTCGGTTGCACTTGCACAAGGTAAGAAAATACGCAGTCGTAGATGCGCAGCAGGCCCCCCCAATTTCTTAGTCTCGCGGCCGTCAAGTCCAAGAGGTTGTCCGCGCTTCTCGGTGTGGACATAGATGGAATGGTGATTGTAGGCCCTCTATGCTGGCGGAAGCCTGTCTCAGTCCTGATTTGAAGCAAGAAATGCAGGGCGCTCACTGCAACCGCAACCCCCAAAAAAGGCACACTCTACATTGGAAAGGATGCTAGGCTTTCAAGCAGTGGTCATTGGTTTTTCTTCTCACTCTGCAACCTACTTCGCTGCTCGTGAAACTCATGGCACTTGGGGTTGTGTGGCATACTGGGGCGACTTATTGGCGGCGAGAGGGGAGATGAACATGACAGCTTTCAATCATTTAAAATAAGCATCTTAATTTTGATTCGTCTCCTGGAGTATTTGTTGACTCCTTGTTCTTTCATCAGTTTTCCCATACTAAATTGATCCTCCAGATTTGTTTCAAGCCGTATTTCAAAAATAGTTGCTGTTTTATTTTCTGATTACTGCTACCTTTCCTTACTGGTGGCTTGCATTTACATATCTTTTAGTGTCTTCCTTACTGTAAACTGATTTGTCTACTCTTTTTCCCCACCTGTCAGGTGACGGTTGTTAGATTTTACGTCAGCCCCATCTCCTCCTCCTCCTCCTCCTCCGCCTCGTCCTCCGCCGGACCTCAACCGCGACCATCCACGCCCAGTGTTCCCTGCCGGACCTCAACCGCGAGCTCATATGGTAACAAGATGTAAAGGATAACAGCTTTGATCAGCTTTGTATGATAGAGAAGGTTCTGGGTGAGGTGGGGTGCATTTTCTGCGCTCGGAATCTTGTCGAAGATAAGAAGTGACAAAGAAGGACAATAGCATGCTATGATGGAAGAGGGTTTTGGAAGAGGTGGGATGCACGCTTAAAAAGTGCACTGCCACAGTTTCTCGGACTCAGGACGGGAGGCCCTGGCCATGCTCATTCATTGGATAAAAAAATCACATCAGCATTTGCATGCGCATTGCCAAAGGCCTCTACAAACTTGGTCTCCCAACAAACCCCAAATGACGGCCTCTTCATGAGAAATGAGCGTGCAAACATCGAACAATCGAATTTCCAAGGACATCCAAAAACATACCAAAGAATAACATCACACACACAAAACTGCACAAACCAAAAGTCCTGTCACGATTGCTTGTGTGTATTTGTGTTTTATACACCTGTTGGATTTCCTCAAATCTTCCAATTTTGCAAGTTTGTCTGGAAAGCAACGTTGCGGATAAAGATTGGGATGATGTTTTTTGATATTGCTTTTAAAGTTTCTTTGGGATTGGAGCGAGGCGGCTCTGCATTGCTGAGCCCTTCGTGTCGGCGACTTGTCCGAGAGGTGCCCGTTAAAGTTTCTTTGGGATTTCCTGATTTCCTTGGACATTATAATTTTCAAATTTTGCAAATTGTATGGATAAGCAACGTTGCTGACAAAGATTAGGGACAGTAAGCAAAATTGAAATTTCCACGGAAATGCAAACAAAAAACAAAGATTATACAAGCATAGACCCCAAACAGCTTCAAAGCGATTCGTTTTGACCAATATTAGTCAAACATTCATTTCTTGGTACGCCCTACCTTCACCCCAAGAGCAAACTGCTTCATCAATGAATTTTTGTCGGCATTGACATCGCTATTTGTTCGGCCACACTCCTCTCCAGTAAGCCGGACCACAGAGACCAGCCACAGAGTTCAGGGGCGCGGCCGAGACAAGGACAAGAGGAGGACAAGACCCGGACACAGAGCCCAGCCACAGAGGACAAGAGGAGGACAAGGCCTGGACACAGAGCCCAGCCACGGAGCCCAGCCACAGAGTTCAGGGGCGCGGCCAGTGAGTGTGGCCAGCTCTTTTGTTTCTAAGATAGAACCCCAACAGTAAACTGTTTGGGGAAAAAGAACAATTGTGACAGGACTTTGCCCCTCTGCCCCCTCCCCCATGGTCTGTGCTGATTTTACTTTTGGTTTCTTTGATTTTTTGGATTTCCTTGGAATTTTCCAAATTTGCAAATTGGTTGGAAAGCAAAGTTGCTGACAAAGATTGGGCGAAGGGACCGTGCGAAACAAACCTTGCACAAGTTGTGAGGGGACACTGGCAAAAAGTTGTTGATTGAAATATATACAAACACGCGCCGCTGAGAGCGCTCCTTTCTGTTATTAACTGCATCATGCCCTGTTTCTGAGTAGGGATGTCGGTATGCTTGCACGACAACACTGGCCCATCTCCTTTAATAGGAATCATACAGGATCAAACTCAACAAGTCCAAATAGATTCTGAAAGGATCTGAAGGCACGTTCTAGCGGATGAACCTACTACCATGCTTCCCAAAAGGCCAACACCAAAGAGCACGAAGAACCTGTTAACCACGAAAGATAAATATCGAAAGAAATAAAAGAACGTCAAACAAGAGCCTAAGAACCTAACACCAAGACTTGGGTCAAGGAGCGGAACCATAAACTGTGGAGTTGCGACAGGCGTAGAGCCCAGTTCAGGTGGCGTGACGCAACCCAGCAAAGCCTTCGGAATCTTCGGATACATTGTCGTGCAACAGGGCGACACAACCACACAAACAGATGATACCTATGGCATAGAAGGAAGCACAAAGAATCTTGCTCACCAGTAAGCATTCAGTTTCAGCTTACTGCACTTATCTTAGGCATGAAATATCGCACACTTGATCGACACCATATGCTAACGCTTCTTCTCTACTTCAGCACCAAATGTGGCACCCGCAAATCTCATTTTGTTGTAAAGGATTGAACGTTTCCTCGTGTTCCTCATTTTCCTCTGCAAATGCAAGAGTAAATCTATGCCGACTTTGAAGGATAAGGGGTTCAGTTCAATCGCCATGAGAATCCTTTTGCTTGAGACTTTCTGGATGATTTCTATAGCCTTTTTGTCAAAGACATGGAAACTGAAGTCTATGAATATATCATGTCTCTCTGGAATTTTTTCCGCGAGCAAACACTCTCTGGGCCTTCGGCGTTTGAGGTACAAAAATCCTTCCCTCTTCTGCTTCGACCTAAGGAAACCATCTGAATGTACAAAGCAACAGCAAGCATGTTTGTGCCAGTGAAACATCAACTGTGGTTTCAACCTAAGTGCTTCACACGTTGCAGTGTGCTCGCTTCAGACTTGAACCAAGTACTTTGTTTGGTCAATCCCATTTTAGAAAGAAACAGGCCTTGCTGCACTCATGAAACGCAACGGAGACATCTACTGCAGCAGCCACATATTTGACAAAACTTGACTATATAAAAACATGTCACATATAATCATATATATATACAAATACCAGGCTGATCAGGCCTCCCTTCAGTGCTGATATGTCGATCTGGACTTGCACACGAATTGAGCGTCAGTCAAAGTCCCTGAAAGCCAATCTGTTCATAGAACTCTGTCAAGGCTCAGAGTGCTGCCACAGGCTGCAGTGAACAAATCGCGACTCCCACTCCCCGCCGAGGAGCTGCTCTGCTTCGATTCCGTTTTCGTCGCCGTGTTCCGTCTCTCTGGCTCCCCTCTCGCTCTTCCGAAGCTCCTCTCATAGCATTTCCGTCCAAAGTCTCAAAGAATCCCACCTTAAAAAAGTCGGAAGTGAAGCGACACAGTAACAAGTGCCACGCTAGTAACAATGTTTGCTACTAGGGGCTCCTGGCCTTACTACTAGTAACAAGAAGCTTCTAGTAACAAGTGCCTTACTAGTAACAAGAAGTCTGAGGAAGTGAAGCGACACTAGAACAATTTGAACCTGATGGCTCTAGAATTAGAGTAGCCTGCTACTGTAGATTCTACTTGATGATATAACCCACAAGAAGTCAATGAGGGCCTATAGATCTCACAACTCAATTTCTTTGAAGACACGTTCGAGACGGTTCAAGCTAGCAAGTGGAATGGGAGTTATGTAGCGAACACACTAGCAACAAGGGTGCAGCCACATGCAGTTACAAAATTCTGGCCAGAGCCAAACAATGACTTAATAATAGATTATATCGCTCATTTCAACGAGCTGAACATGAGTGAGTGCCAGCAAAAGTTCATCAGAACTGCGAACAAGAAACTTGAGAGTCAAAGAAGTACTTCCTGGGGGCCAGCCAAAATATCGCGCGTTTCTCGTCATTTCAAGTTTAATCTACGGTTGCAAAAGTGAAAACTGACTGCCCAGTACCAGGACAAGCTTCATGTGCACCCGTTTTTGGCTGAATTGATACCACTCTCTGACTTCTTCTTTGCGCAGCAAGTGCAGCCAGTCCTGCAGAAGTAGTACAAAACAATGCCACAAAGAAACTGCTCCAAAATGCCAAGGACTGTGGTGCCTTCCTCTGCAAAGTGGAATGAGTGGTTTTGGGGAGTCCTTTTTTGTTCCTTTTCGGGAATTTTGTTTACGGCCGTGGTTTCCCTATAGTTCCTCCTGGAAGTTGAAAGCTACCTATAGGGCCATGTTCCATTTCGAGCCAGGCAAAAAAGGAATCGGCCACAGGGTGAACAACCATGAGACAAGTGTTTCCTTCACCAACTTAAGGGACAACCCAAGTGCATCATAAGAACAAGACTCTTTCATTCTTTACTCCCTCCTCGAATAAAATGCACCAAGCAATGCAAAGAACGTACAAAGCCCACAGAAGCAACAAACAGCTCCACAAGAAAACAACAACCACTACAGCAAAAAACAAACAAAAGCAGGACACGTATGAAAGCCAGAAAAGCAAGACAAACTCAAGGCTTGAAAAGCAAAAGCAACTAAAGAAGGAACCACTACGCCACAAGAAGACAAGAGGCCTGAAAGCAAATAAAAGCATTAAAATATCCAAGGAAGAGCAAGACAGCACAAACAAACAGTAGGGAAAGTCAGAAACGCAAGAGAAATCACAAAGAAGCCATGAAACGCCAGGAAAAGCAAGGCAAGCACCAAAAAGGAGGAAAAGCAAGAAACGCATGAGAAATCACCGAGAAGCAATGCAACGCAATTAGAGTAAAGCAGCAATTGACATAGATTCAATAGCTCCCTTCAGAGTGGAAGTGACTCTCCTTGTAGTTGTCATTATCCAGGATGCAACAGTTTCGATGATATGCACATTTGATAGTCATCTCATCATCGGCGCCCCTCAGAAGCTTGACATCACCACAGTTGAATCTTGAGGATGCAATTCCGATGCAATGCATCAATCAACAGTGTTTACATGTTCAGCCAAAGCTCTTTTGGTTCTCGCCACTTATGCGAGGAGTCTCTTGGACAGACTCGCACACATTTCGAATGTCCTGTGGCAGAGTGGCTTTCAACTTCACAAAAATCACCAAATGCCCCGAAAGCCCTTGCAATGTCAGGTGTTTGCCGCTCGCGCTCTCCTCAGGAACACCTTCAGTCCATTCGTCGCCATCGAAGCCTTTCCAATTCTGATAGATTACGCCAATGATCTTGAAGTGTCGTTTTGTTAACTCCTTCACCTTGGCAACAAAACGGCTTTGGCAAACACATTCACCTCTAGCAAGACTTGTCCAAGACCTGGAATTGAATTGCTTGCTGCTTTTATTGTCCACTCATTTTACAGACTCGTGTCACCTTCAATGCAAGACTCTTGAATTGCTGTCTGAGTCCAAAGGACACAGCGGCGGACACCTTCCCATTGAAACTTTCCTCCGGCCCTTTCTTTGTCAAAGAGATGACCAAAGTTTGTCCCAACCTCAGGTTGCTTGCACCTTTCAAATGGACACATATATACAGTACATACATAGCCATATACTGCGTACTGTAATATATATATATATACACAATACATTTTTTAACATACTGTATATGTATGTGCAAATGCGGGAACAGCAACCCTTCTTTAATGAATTCTGAGGGCACGGCATTGTTGAAGTTCACGACGACCAGCTTCAAATTGTATGGTCTACCTTCATTGTCTGCATCTGGCAACCTTTCAGGGACAACCTCGGATATTGAGGCGCTGCAATGCGAGGCCCAAGTGTGACGATCGAGTGTTGACAATTAAAATGCTTGATTCGTGCAGAGTGCGTTTGCGTGGCCGCTACTCATGTAGCTAGTGGCTACACAAGGCTGTGCCAAAATGAACAAGCGGGATGCTCCTGGACCGCAGCTCCGGATGTCCGGTTTTGACCCTCCAAAATCATGGCTCTTGAACATACATTGATCCTCTGCCCACCACCCGTCTTGTGTTGCAGTTGTTCCACTTTGAAAGCTGTGTATGCCGTATGAAATCATTGTCCCTCGGTTCTATGCTCCTGTTCTTCCTATTGATATCGTCCTGCACATCTTGACTTAATAGCAAATACTATTGACTATTGATACTCATCCGCAGCAATCATACACCAAAGGGGAATTATCAGCATGGAGATTTGTTGCTGGTGCGACAGGGAGCCCAAACCCGCCTTTTCCACTTCAGTACAACTTCTGCTCATTGCTGTGCCTTCCCTGTGTGCACTGAACCTTGCTAATTCCTATGCAGCGTATATGTTGCACAGAAACAAAAGACCTAGGAACCAACTCATTTGTGTGAGCTTCAAGGAAGCTCCCCCTCGCCCTTGAAGAAGCGTGAGCTATCCGAATCCTGCGTCCATATGTAGGAGCTAACTTGTCGCCCTTACTTAATTAAGTAAGCGCCTACTTATATAATTAAGTTAGGAGGCAGGGGCAGAGGCGAAAAAATAACAGGGTCTGGCACGACAATGGAAGGAGAGGAGCTGAGTTCTCCACCCGCCCTAATCTCGTCCATGCCATGAAACCTTTGAACCCAATGCTGGCTCACTGCCTTTGGGGTGCAATCCAATACCTGAGCGTGATAAACACGGAAGATTTGCAAATCTGCCTTGCTTCAATCAAGTGTCAAATCAACTAACCAAGTGTAATTCAATACACATTGAGTTGCGCAATAGGTGGAATTTGTGTGAGGCGGCACGGTGGCCTACGCACGCCTACGCCACTATTTGTTGAAGCACCTACGCCGTCGACTGCGCAAGGCCTCTTACACGAAGCGGTCACGAGTCAGAAATGGAAGATGAGGAAAACTGGCAACTGTTCCCATTCTGTTTGCCAGCCCTTCAACATACACATGATGATGATATTGTTATCATTACTATAATGACGATGACGCTGTCATCGTAGCGGTGAAAGCAGTGAAGGCAAGATCAGCAAATTGCTGACGGCAAACTAACGTTTATCTAGTTTGGTCTCCCAGCATGGAAATTAATGAACACTTGCCTAAACTTACCACTGCTACTGCTACTGCTACCAGTACTGCCACCGCTGATCAAAGAAGAAATGTCGAGAAGGACTGTATGTCAAAACTTGCGCTTCACTTGGAGCAAACACACAGCAAGCTTAACACATTCCCAGGAAAATGAAGAAACAGCTCATATCGAGAAGCTGGAAATACACAACATAATAGTGAGTAGATGAAAAAAAACAAATGGGGACACATAAAAAAGTGAGGGTTGCAAAATGCAAGCAACAACTAGGCAAACAGTAGGTAACACATGTATATATATATGGGAGAAACACAGGTAGTAAATAGTTCAAAAGTGGTCAGCAAATATATATATAATATAAACATTGTTTGGAAATAGGTTTCGTGCAAGAAATTGGAGTCAATCCTCTACAGTAATGGCCTCTTTGCATGATGTTAGTCGTTTTTTGATTTCCCTTTTTTGCAATGATTGATGGTTTCCGGGTGTCTTACTTTCTGAATTATACTGTTTGTATGGGAAGTCTTTTTGGGACCTATTTCTTCTCTACTTTAATTAGTTATCGTTTTTTCCAACTCTGCTTACATAAGAGTAGGTTTGCCAATCGGGCTGAGTTGACTTGCATCGGGATTGTTCGTTATTTGCAGGATTCTCGCTTGTGCGGTGTCTTACACAACAGGCTCAATACATTGGAATCCATTGGACTTCCGGAGGCCTTCCAAGCGCCCATGCCCTGGCTGCTCGCTGCTCTAGCCCAGACTTTCATCGTATCTGCCAAACCTACAATCCAGGGCACCAGTTTTTGACCGCTCTGGTTGCTTAGCATGCCAGCTGCGCGCTCCTAGCAAGCAAAGCGGCTTTCACCTTTAAAACACAACGATCGCCCCACTCAAACCCGTTATATAGAAAGGCAGTCTGCACTCTTGTCTCAGACCGTGAGTTCTCTTATGTCTTGTGAACGGTAGAATGGCATTCAAACATGGGATATCAGTCTACACCTTTGCCCCGAGGCGATTTTTGTGGATGGAGCAAGTGGATGAAGTCTTTCCAACTCATTTATCATGAAATAAAAATAATGGAACACATTAGCATACAAATTGATACACGGTGAGGGTACGCAAACATTGTTGCCCGTCGGTGCACACTCTTGAATGAACGTACTCAGCTTGATACAGTCTTCTCTTTTGGAGTGTGGTGGGTGTAAGTTTCGGTGTGGTCTTTCCTGTCTATTGCACCTTGCATCCTGCAGAAGGTCCATGTCTATTAAGTATCATTGTTCCCTTTCTGGAACACAACATCTTCATATGTTTGGCCAACTCACATACATGAGTCACGACTCTTACCTTCCAAAACCTCCGTGACCACCAACAGTCGCAGAACGCCCTTGCCACCAAGCCTTCTTGCACCTGCATGAAAGAGCCTTTCTTTTAGTGTGACTTCTCTAGTTGTTCAGAACGAAGGACTCCACACACAAAGTCAAAGCGGTTGTGTTCAGTTCAAACTCAAAAGGTGCCAATGTCCTCTCCTCCCCGCCGTGGGCTGCTGGGTTTTCGCCTATCAGGAGAGCGAGGAGCTCCACTGGCACCTGATCTGGGTCAACAGTTCCTGATACCTTTCATGATGTTCTCCAAATACTGTGGAACCATTTGACGCACCCATGAGATGTCGACATATTGCACATAGTTACTGATGTTACTATTGTTATTGTTTGTTATTATGTGTTTAATGTTATAAAGTTTCCTTAAACATCAATCAAGTCCAAAAGCCAACAGCAAAGTCGCACGCAGCTTTTTGCAGGTTGGTTTGATTCCTCTTGGGTCTGTGTTGAAATGTGAGAAAGATATAGGACTGGGATAGTGCCCAGAAACGCCACCCAGGCCAATCCTATTTTCGAAAAAGGTGAATGCAAGGAGGAATCGGACACCGGGCACGCTGAGAGCGGGTAATAGGTGTCGCAAAGGAAAAAATCTTTTCAGGGGTAGGTCAAGAAGTGCCAAAACAAACAGCAAGCACGCCAGCCCCAGGAGCCACCGCGCATTTCTCAAACGTGCTCGCTGAGGGCAGGGCCACGGGCGCCTGTCCCAACCCGAAAGGGGTTCCAAAAGCAACCCATGCACACAACTCGTGTGATTTCAGGGCACAGGGCGCCTGTCACACTTGATATGCCTAAAGGGGCTGTGGTTGAAAGTAGAGTCGTTGGAACACCCGCTGCGTTAACTGGTAGGTCATCATCGGTCTGGACACTCTGAGCCTCTTCGACGGGTCAAAACCAGCCAGATCCGGGTGAGTGAGCTCATCAGCCCAAGTGTTGAGCTCTCGTTTGACGTGTGAAGGAGCCAGCTGACATTCCCCTTGGTGGAGGGAAAGGACAAGCTGCATCAGAAGGGCCGCAGTTGGCATCTTCCTCGTAGTTTGATTCAGCATGGCAAAGATGTTACCTTGGTTGTCCGGGATGAGGGGAATACGGAGCTGCAGGCGGTTCTTCTCGCCCCTTAGCCATCAGGAAGGACGCCAAAAGCAGGGAACCCAACGTCTCCAATGCAGGAGGTTGGCCCCAAGGCTGGCTTTGAGGAACGCCCATGGGCGACGGCCGGCACCGCTGGCACCATGCCACGGCGAAGGAGGACAGTACGGGGTAGGCTGGGTCCACCCAAGAGGGCGGAGATGAGCGTCGCAAAGGTTCGGACTCGGTTGGGCCAGGGGCTTGGCCAGCGTGTGCGGTGAGGTAGCCCATTGGAGTCCTATGGCACTCTCAAGATCCTTGACCGTGAAAACAGCCTCCTTGGGTCATCTGGGACAAGATCGTCGTGACCCTGGTGTGCTTTTCTTTCGCCATCTGAATAATGGGCCCCTCTGGTTGGATCACGAAACCGAGCCAGGTATTGATCGGTCCCAATAGACTTTTCTTCCAGCTCAGAGGTGTGCGCAAGGCCCACAATGTGGGGAGAAGGGCGCAGGTGTCAACAGAAGCCGCGACTGCCTCCTCCGGGACAACCGGTGGTGCGGGGGTGTCTTTGCGCCCCCGCTGGCGCAAAGGTGGCTCCAGCGCAGGTGTCGTTGAAGGCGGGGAGGAAGGGTCAACCTCCGTGGGACTATGATCAAGGAGCCTAGGCCAGGCCACCACGCGGTGAGGTAATCGTGGAAGTCGAGGAAGTAGGAAGTGCCGCCGCAGGCTCCATAGCCGCATCCCCGCCGTCTGGTCTTCAGCACCACGGGCGACTGTGCCATCCGGAGGGGTCATGCAGGGCAGACATGGCTTCATCCATTTCCGCAAACTTCTCCTGGGGCTCTTCTGGTGTGGGGAGCTCGCGTTTGACGAAGTCGCCAGCCGTGATCGTCTCCGAGTCATCACTGGGAAGGATGGTGCCCGCCAAGGCATCATCCACCCGGCCCGTATTTTCAATGACCGCCTCTTCCACGAGGCAAAGCTCCTTTTTGCGAGCATCCGCCTCCGAAGCATCCAAGGTGAACGAGCTCACCGTCTCGGTCTCCTCAAGGAGGGTCCAGTCAAAGATCCCTGAGCCAGAGCTTGCCATGGCGATGAGTGGGATTGGAGAGAACGAATGCGAAACACGTCGCTCTTTCAAGAAATGCGGACTTGAGCCAAAACGGCATGGCATTTTGGCCAATGAAAAGGAATTAAGGCAACATAACCTGCCTTCCACAGGCTCCAAGCACGTTCTAAATATGAACATCTTTGTCTTCTGACATCTCTATCTGATCCCCCTCCCAGAGCACGCACAGCTGCAAGAAGGGCTGAAAAGGTTCCATCTCGTCGTCCATCTCGCACAGGCTTTGGATCTCCCACCCTAGTTCGGATGTCTTTGTTGATGGCCTGCAGGAAAGCGGTGCTCTGCTGTCATATCTATATACCAGGCACAAAATTGTTTTGGTTTCTCAAAAGAGCTTCCAGCGGTTGTCCTCGATGTCCCAAGACTTGCCGTTCCAGTAGTTCCCCGCGTTTGCACGAGGATCCAGAGCAAGCAATTCACCTCGAGTATTCTTCAAGCTCACAGTTGGCAGACTGGTGAGGCCAGTGTCGTTCCGACAGTCTACTGTCTGCCAAGCCAAGGCTGCAGGATGCCAGTGTCATCCAGTGTCGGCCGACATGGTGAAATATGCTGAGGTGTTGACGGAACTCAGGTGGCCGCGGTGATGGAGCAGGTAAGACCATGGCCAATAGCAAGGACCACCAACAATCACATGATGTGAACGTATTGCTGTGGTTAGTAGAGTTAGCCGGGGGTGTGCAGAGAAGCACGCGGGATTTGAACCACATAGCTTGCTGGGCACTGTAGATCTTTTTTGCGGCAATGTGCAAGCAGCAATGTGCAAGCAGCAATTTCGGGTGTCGTCAGTGTCTCGCAGATGGTTTCTGATTGCAGGGTATACCTGTCAGTTGACCTACATTTCCTCCAGCTCTCTGCAACAATGCGCATGCATGCGTACCCACTTCTCGCACATGCAAGGCTGGTCTATGCTGTTTGACTCCTACCTGTCTTGCCAAGGCTGAAGCAAAATTGGCCAGGAAACTGATGATAGAAGACAGAAGAAGACAAGATACAACTAAAACAAGTGAAACGACAATAAGATACAACAATGATATAATTATATAAGTACAATATAAGGCATCCAACTGTTTCTCACATGTTTGCTTGTGTTGGACCATCTAAGAATCACAATGGACCTCGGCAAGTCTAAGTACTCCTCGAGCAATGCTGGCAGTCAACCCTCTCAACTCGCGACAGGCTTCAGCCTGCGCAATTGTGCAAACAGGAAGAGTTCGGTCATGCTACAATAAAGGAATATAGAATATATAGGTATACATTGAATGAAATGCTGAAGGATTCTGAAGCCTGATCCTGTGAGCTTCCCACATTCCGTGAATCACATTGTTTGGTAGAAGGCCCAATTCTTTATTGAGAGATCAATTGGATTGGTACCTTGTTTCCTGTACTTATAGCCTGGCTGTCTAGAAAACCATGAACCCCTAGATTCGATCAGCCTGGCCTGGCTGTGCAGGTCACCCAGGCGAAAGTCAGCCTTGCAGGAAGAACATGGAAGAACTATCTAAAGGCTTGAGGCCTTTAGGGGCAGGTCACCCAGCACTTTGCAATGTTTGCACAACACCTTTCACATGCTTTCAATACACAAAGGTGCGGCTCATGATTGCATAAGTCAGCCGGCGGGACAAGAGTGCAGTTCACAACGTGCATGGCTGCCTTTGTTGGTTAGACACAGGCAACTAGGCATTGGAAGCAGGCGGGCTTTGACCAGGATGGGAAGTAAAGCGTTCCTCAAATAATGACTTGGTGGTAAAGCAGTGGGCTGGCTTAAAGGAGGTCAACGTACTGAGCCAGGATCACAAGATTGAATCATGCTGCGGCGCAAGACAAGATGCACAAACAAATGCTGAAGCCTCCTCGCCACTTCGCAACATTGCTTAACACCTTTCAAACCCAGCCTCTTCTCTTTCCTTGGATGTTAGATCCACCTCAGTCGTCTCGAAAAAGGGGTAATTGCTGGGCTGACCCTCAGTTTCACTAAGAACTGCTAAGCCATGCCAAGACCAATGCTTTTGAAACCTCATCCAGCACCGCGTCGACCCTGTAGCCCAACAGTTGTGCCTGCACAAGCACGATCACAACAATACTGTGAATATGCATTTTTGGATTGGCTCTTTGTCCATCTGCAAAACACTTCCAACGATTTCTCGAAGTCGGAACTAGGAACATGTTATGTTTGGATTTCGAGCTGCAAAACACTTTAAAGATTTCTTGAAATATCCTTGCTTGAAGCAGTGTGACGCAGTGGCTTTGTGTGGGGTTGCTAGCCTGGTTTCTCTGCTACTTAGTACTCAGTGCGCCAAAGCAACAAAATGACTGCCTCTTCCACGGTCTTTTGATCATTCTTGGCCACAGCTTCTTGCAAAGCTTGAATGTTCGCGTTCATCACCTAGGCTTACATGGTATGGTTGACTCTCAGATTATCTTCATTTTTTGTTGGTTATGCCTTTATGGTGCCTTTATACTCTAAATATATTTCAAGAGTATATGCCTTTCCATTCCTTTCTCCTTCATGTGTTCTTTCATGTTCTTCATTTCGTTTCAGCTCGCCTCAGAAACGTGCTGAAGTTCGTGATGAAGGCGCTGCTCCATCGCGTCGCCTTGATGTTGCTCGAAGGACAAGTTTCATCAGGCTTCCCCAGGAAGGAAGCAAAGAAGCGAAGTTGCAAAGACGCGAAGAAAGATGAAGTTAAAGACAGTTTCACTTAGAATGCCATTGCTATTAGGATGGAGGCCATACCGACTAGGTGGAGGCCACCGCTATTAGGTTGGAGGCCATCGCCAATAGGTTGGAGGCCATCGCTAGTAGGTTGAAGCCCATCGCTAGTAGGTTGAAGCCCATCGCTAGTAGGTTGGAGGCCATC